CTTTACAAATTGAAGGTATTCACTCTGCTTATCGTTTGCCATAAATATTTTCCCACTCTGTGGTTTGGCTTTTAATCTCAGGGTTTTTCCTTTTCTTCTTAAAGAAGTTTCCATTTTTTATGTAGTCTAACACATTGCTTTTATTATTTTCTCCATTGTTTCTAACAGTAGCAACTAGTAACAGATCTAAGTGCCCTGCAGGTGCCCAGCCTTTATCTCTCACTCTCATAACACCCGCAAGACAGGGATTATTTTCTTCAAAGATTCCAGTTTAAGTACGTCTGACTGTAATGCCTGTTCTCCGTCCACCTCAGCACACATAACTCCTCTTTCCAAATATTTAATATTTACTGCCATTTTATTTACACTTGGGGGCATTCGTGATGATTTATCATTTATTACATTTCCACATACAATAGTTTATTTCTGGGGTGCTGAACAGGTTCCAGTGACCTGCACAGATAAGATATTCTGCAGCCAATATGACATTTTTAATGAACGTGGCTCTATAATATGTTTAAATATATTTGTCCCACCTTCCCACTCACAATTATCCTGTCAAGTTCACCCCAAAATGGACATCTCCATGACATTTAGACATCACAGCCAGGAATATGGCCCGTCTTTCCATTCAGGACATTCTTTCAGACCTCTCACGATTCTTCATGGTCTCTCCAGGGAGATCACATTCAATTCCACAAGGTTTGCCTACATGTTCAACATTTTGTGCAGCGATGTGGTCAGTGCCCGCTTTTTGTGTGGGGTGGCTTTTTTCTTCCATTTCAGTTTCTGCTACGTGATTTTTGGTATTCAGAAAGCTATTAATTTTACACATGCACTGTGTACCCAGTTACTTCATCAATTTTTTTACTTGATGATTTTTCTGTTCTCCTTGTTTTTCTAGTCAATAGCATCTATAAGTATTTCTCTTTTCATTTTAGATCCTGACTTCACTCTTACTTCGAGTGTTACTGCTTTGTCAAACTTATAAAAACCATATTAAATAATGTCCAATTTTTAATTTGATTCTCTGATACTTCAGTGTGGACTAGTTTAATATTTATGTGTACTTTTTGCATTAAAAAAGTACCTTTTTTCTTCCTTTTATTTATTCCTACTTTTTTAAAATAAGAAATGAGGGTCTGTTTAAATCAAACATCTGTTTTTACCTTAGTGTAGTCGGTAGCGTGAAGTCAGTGTGAACTGCAAGGGAAAACCCACTCTCTCCTAGGCAGCCCTCTGAAATGGTCCCGTCCCCCCACTGCCCTCCATCCCCACCACACCTGCGCATTCTGCATGTGGCAGGGACTGCAGTGGTTGTTTAAAAATGCAAATCTGATTATGTCACCCCCCCCCCTGCTTAAAACCCAACCCTTATAATGGCTTCCGATTTCACTCAGGATAAAAAAATACAACCACCCTAACCCACCCTACAGGATCCTATAGGATCTGGCTCTGGCCTAGCCACACTTCCCCTGAGCCCCGCACCATCCACAGTCATTCTTTCAGTACCTGAATGGCAAAAGCTGTGTTCCCCCTTCAGTGCCTTCCCACATGCTGTTCCCCTGCCTGGAAAATTACCCTCAGTTCACTCAACGCTAACACCTACTCACCCTTCCAATCTCAGCTTAAATCTTATTTTTACAGAAATGTCTTTCCTGGGCCTCCTCTCTCCAGTCTAAAATTTGGTCCCCTTTTTTATATTCTCTCATAGCAGGTGCTACTTAATTTTCATACCAGAGACCATAGTTTATGATTATACATGTAGTTGTGGGGCTGTATTTAATTTCTGATCCCCTCCCTCTCACAAATTATACCCTCCAAGAGAACAGGGACAAGTTAATTTTCTTGGCCACATTAAAGGTACCCATACTTATTTGAATGAAAGAAAAATATCTACAAAGCCCTAACTGTATCTCTTACACCTTAAAATACTACCCATCATATCATTTAATCAATATTCAAACTGCTAAAACTTTCTGATATTGCCTACAAACTCAGTAAGACTCCATTTTCCTGAAGGATGTACAAACCAATCTGAATTTACTGCTGCGATAGAAAGTATATGTATAATTTACATCTCTAGGAAGTAAATTTTGTTTAAATATTACAACGAGAGTTTTATCTAGTGTTCGGTCTGCTGATATGTTTATTCACAGTCAACTAATTTATATGCCTTATTTAAGACATGTAAAAAGCCCAAGGAAAAATGTGCTTTGCAAAATATTCTTTAAGTCTAATGTATTGTCAGTAATTGATAATTAATGATAACAAAATCACGAATTAAAAAGCATTCAAAATAGACTATTTCTTGTATGACGTGACTCATACATCTGGCCAAAAAATATAAATTGTATTGCAAATAAACAATTTTTGGATTATAAAAGCTAATAAAACCAATCTTTATAAACAATTTTATATTCTACCAAGCTTACTGAACTCTACGGAGTCGACAGAGCAGGTATTACTACTATCTACAAAAAAAAAAAACTGAGGCTTGGAGTGATTAAGTGTCCTCTCCAAGGTCACCTGATGACTGGTAAGTGGTAGAGTCCTAACTACAATAGGGGAGGGGTGGCAGCTCCCACATGTAAATTTCTTAGCCAAAGAGAACTTTCACCATAAATGTCTAGTCTCCGTAATTAGTGTAGATGTGTGCTACCTTCACTAAAACTTCACCTCACCAGATAACCACCACCATCAAAAGTGCTATTTTAAAGTTAAAACTTCAATTGCCATCAATTTGGGAAAAGGCAAAATAAACTATGGTACACTGAAACTATGGAACATGATGCACCATTTCTTTAAAAATGAGTCAAATTATTATATGCTAAAATTGACACATACAGTACAATACTTGTTACAACAGTCAAAGATGACATAAGTACACACTCATACAAGTATTAAAGATTTAGAATACACACCGCGCACATAATAGTCCTTATCCTTGGAGACAAGGGTTGATAGTCAAAGATTTTTGCCATCTCTGTGACATGGTCCTTTTTACAAAGAAAATGTACTACTCTAACTTAAAATAATTTTTAAATTTTAAATTAATTTGTGGATTGAACAAGGAAGTAATTTTTCTGCTCTAAAAAAGGTATGCATCTCTAAAGGAAGTAGAGGCCCTAACAGAGAAGACAAAACACTTAAAAATCGTTCAATCTTGTTAAAACATTAAACTGTCTAAATGTCACAAAACGTTCCTCTAAGGAGTCAATAGCTACCAAATATTTTTTCAATATCTGGTCTCCTTTGTTGCGCTAAGACAGTCAATAAAAAAATCACCAACTAGAGCAGTACAAAGCAGGCTCCTAGAGAGATTTAGTTGTTAGAGTTCGGCAAGAAAGGTTTCACAAAGGAGCTGAGTTTTGAGGGAAAAGAGAGGTGATTTGGCAGGGAGATTAACCCGGACGGGAAAATGTCTGGGAGGGGAATAGATATATTGAGTTCATCAGAAGCAGGGGACAGCAACAAAACTGAAGTCAAGTCCTGGAAGAGATGAGAATTTCTTAGGATGTGGGAGTTGAGAAGGAACTCGTCGGCGCTGCTAGCCAGTTTACCTGGGTGAGAATCCGGCCCTTGTTGTGGTCAAACAATGGAAGCGTCCAGCGGCAGCAGCCTTCTGCGCTGGGTGCGCGAAGGGTTCCTCATCACCTGAGTAGGATGCTCGTCCGCCTCTGCCGGGACGGAAGGAGCTATAAAGAACACAACATCACACCATGCAGCGAGGCTTCTCCACAGCACAGCCCGGCTCCCCGATCCCACGGCGCGGCCATTACCGCCTCTCCGGGGACCCGCCTGGAAAGGCTCCAAGGCGCGGCTCCACGGGCTTCGAAAGCTGTCGTGCTCCCCCTTCCCTCGGCTCCAACAACAATGGAGCACGGCTCGGGAGTCCGGCTCCCGCGGGGCCTCCGCCCGGCCTCGCCCCTGCCCGCTGCCCACCCTGCGCCCCGCGCCCGCCGCCATCTGCGCCCCCCCAGCCCCGCTCCCCCGCACTGCGGGCCCACGGCCGCCTTCCGGAGGCCCGAGGGCGGCTTCGCTCCCCGGGCCCGCCCGGCTGCGCAGAGCCTCTCTGACCTTCCTTCCCTCCCGGTCCCCGAGGGCCGGCCCGGCTCGAGGCCCATCCTAAGTGACGGGTTGTTTTTCTTTTCTTTAATCCACTCACCCTCCTTCCAGCCCCCAGCCCGCTCCCCTGCCCCCGCCCCCGCCTCCATCCAGAAAAGAAATAAAGAGACTACAGCTCGGCCGCCGAGAACTCACTCCAAGTGAGGGGAGCAAGCGCCCCAGGCCGCGGGCTCCGCGCACCCACCTCCCTCTCCTCCAGGGACACCTCACAGGTGCGCCTCCGAGCCGCGCGCGCGCGCTCCGCACACCCAGACGCCTCCGGGGGACAGCGCGCGTGCGCACGCACGAGGTGGCGAGCCCCGGGGGGAGCAGGGGCCGCACGCATGCGCGCCGCCCGGCCCGCGCCCCCGCCGCCTGCCTCCGCCCCC